CTGGTGCCTGGGTGCTGCCTGGCCCAGCAGGCAGGGCAGGATCTGGCCTAGAATCAGAAGGATTTTCCTTTGGGCTGGACCCCTCATTTTCCCCTGAATGGAGACTGGTCCTCACCCAGTGCAACATTTCTCCCCAGCAAATTCCCAGCACAACCACAGGTAGAAAGCAGCTTTTCTGTAACAGTGGAGCGATGGCATCTCTGGCTGTTCCTGCCCTTCGTCACTCTGCTGTGTTAGTGCTGGCCATTGCTCCCCTGAGCACACCAAGCTCAGTGGTGCTCACACACTCTGACCAGCATTAGGGATATGAAGGTGTTCTGGGCACAGGATTCACAGCAGCTTCTGCATGAACATTACAAGTGCTGGGGTTTATAACCCAGAAAATCTGGGCTCTGAAGGGCTCTATCTGGTGGGGTGGGAGGCGTGCCGCCCTGCCCAGAGCCACTTTTATGCCATTGTGCCTTTTCAGCATTGCATTAAGGCAGCCAAAGAAGGGGGATTTTTAATGGTTCCAGGGGAACAAAGCGGAAACATTCGACCCAACTTCATTACAGAATCATCTGAAACGCTTGAGGAACGTTTCCCACTAATTATCATAAATAGCCGAAAAAAATCTTTCCCTCCCAAAGCAGGTTCCAGCTGCCCCTCTGTGTTTTCTCACCTCCACTTCCAATAGCCTGACCCTGCCCCCGCACAAAGGGGAGACCCCATCTCCGCTCCCCCCACACTCAGGGGCTCTAAAGAAATACAAACAGGCAGCAGATTAACAGCACTTGTTTGCACCTTAAACAAACAGGAACTTCCGCCCCTCCGGGCTCTCTCACTGCCCAAGGGAGGATGCACCAGCTTGTTTTTCTTGCCCTTGCTCTCATGCCCTGCCCAAACTCTGGATAAAAGCCTGGACAGCCCAAGGCATGAGGCAGACAGGATGAGAATGCCAGGGGTGTCAGCCCCCCATCTACTTGAGCCTTGTCCCTAATCTGTGTGTCCTCTTGGTACCCCATCTGCCCCTGGGGAAGTCAGGCCCCTGCTGCAGTAGGGCTGTGAGATGCCAAAGGCAAATGAAAAGCAGGAATGTCCCAGTTCAGCTCTTGCCCCATGTGTCTCACAGGGCTCCTAGCAAGAGGCAGCCTGACGTGGCTGGATGGGTACTGTGAGTGGGTGTGGAGAGGGATGCTGAATGTGAAGGATGGAGAGGGGGAGACAAACCATCCAGAGGACACACAGAGGAGTGGTACTGGTGTCAAAACCATCACCAGCATTGAGGAGGCACAGCAGCACGCTAAGCAGCCCACAGGCCATCTCTGCTGGCTGCAGTAGGGGATGGATGAGTGCTGCCCATGCCTGTGCAGCCAGACCTGAGGCTGATCCCAGCAGCTGCCCCCTCTGCCAGGGAGCTGCCCCAGCTCGTGTTCTCAACCTGCAGGTCCTGTGTTGCCTATCTCACCTCTCCAGTGAAATTGCTGGAATCTCCCTGCTCCTACAGGAACAGGTGTCAAACCAGCTCCTTCTTGCTCTTCCCACAGTGAACAGAGAAGTCAGCCCCAGCACTCCCTGCCTCTCAAACCACACCAGCAGCTTTTGAGACACTGTTCCAGCACAGCTTGGCACATGTCTGGCACCAGCACACGAGGCAGGCATGCAGGGAGGAAGCTGTGGCAGCGTGGCCACGAGCTGGGACAGGTTCTCATCACAAGCCAGCAGTGAGACTTGCCCACCAGAGGCCCAGGCTTGCTCCTCGTGAGGGTTATTGTGCAAATCCCCTCATGCAGGTGTTCATTGCCTCCCCTTCCCATGAGCCACAATAAAGAGTTTTGCTTGTGAGTCCCCTTCCTGCCCATGGGGTGCCCCAGGGACAGGAAAGGGAGCTGAGGCAGGTGGCAGGGACAGGCCACCACTCCCACAGCATGGGTGGCTCCCAGCAGGGCTGACATGCAGAGGGCTACAGTCAGTGCTGCAGCATGAGGGACAGTGCTGTGGGAACCACTTCTCACCTGCACAGGGCAGGAAGAGAGCCAGTAGCAGCTGCAGGACTCCCAGGCCATGCTGGAGACCCCTGGCCCCAATGCCACTCAAGGACACACATGTGTGGTGTCCTGTCTCAGCTTCTAACAGTTTGTCACCTGAGGCTGTGAGGGACTCAGGCAGTCACAGCAACTGGGAAGAAGTGTAGAGTGTCATGAGCAGCCTGGAGATTCCACATGGGGATGCTCAACTTTTTTTTTTTTTTTTCCAAAGTGAGAACCACAGGCATCCTGTGCAAGGAACAGCAAGCAGAGGAAGATTTCTGAGATTAAAAACTATAACCACTACCCAGTGCAGTGGCATGCTGCAAAGGGATGCCTGTGCTGCCCACAGCAGAGTGGAGAGGGTGTGCTGGGGACCCTGCACTCCACAGCACTGCCCCAGCCACGCACCTTCATTGCAGTGAGCTGTAGCCCTGAAGCAGCAAACACTGATCTCCCCGGTGCAGATCCCCCTGCTCTGCCCCATCTCCCTGTGCTCTCTGGCTGCTCTTGCTCAGCAAGCAGGAAACCCCAGGGTGCTGCCCCACAGGCTGCTCAGGCACATCACCCCCAGGACACCCTGCGTCCCTCTAAGCTCCTTCCCTCCTGGAGTACACTGTTGGCCCCAACAGGGGCAAATGGGAACAGCTGCTAATTCCTCCCAACCCAGCCCAGCCCAGCCGTAACCCTCCAAGGACTGGCCCTAAAGTGGTGGAAGGAGCTGTCTTGCCTGAGAGCCAGCTGCACCAGCCTGGCCTCGGGAACTCTGTATTTTCATTGCAAATTACAAATCGATCATAGCAGCAAATTCCCGTGCTGAGAACACCCTTGGCTGTTATTATTTTACAGCACTCTGAAGCACTTAGAGGTGTTCTGGGCACTTAGAAAGATATGGCCCTTTCGGGGTATTATGGGGCAAATTAGTTTTAAAAGCAGCTGTAGGAATGTTGGCCATTTGGCTTCCAGAGCCGGATGGGCACAGGTGGAGGCTGCAGGGCTTTGTGCTGCTTTTGGATACCACACCGCCCTGCAAAGAGGGAACCAGCACACTCCGGAGCGAACACCTCGTGCCTGACCCCAGCTTTATTAATAACCAGTAATTAATATGAGAGCGGACGTGCCTTGTGTCTCTGAAGACCTTTTAAGATGTGATTATGTTGTGCTAATCTCACCCCGAAGTACTTCCCTGTTTAGACTGCGCTGGGCCATTAAATATCTGAAAAGCCAGCAGAGACCCCCCCTCATCACCTCGGGAAGTGCTCGGGGTCTGTTCCCCAGCAGCCAGGCCCCACTTTCAAACCCTCTAAATCAAGTATTAAGCTGAGTCCATCTGGATTGCCAGAAAAAACACTCCCTCCCCCTCATCTGTATCTCATTACCTGCTGTGCCAGCCCTGGCCCCGGAGCCGCTCGCTCCATCCCGCCCAGATGTGCTGCCCCGCGCTCCCTCCCGTATTTCACAGCCGTCAGCAGCACTTCAAGGAGTAGCTGCAGGGCCTGTGACACTGCACAGGTTCTCAGCAAAGATGTATATCCAGGTCCCTAATGCATAGCTGCAGGCATGCACTCCAGCACAGAGCCCCTTCCCCCTCCCCTGGTCTTGCAGGGGAACTGGGGGGTTCAGGGCTTACTGGCCAGGAGGTTTCTGAGTTTCTGTCCTACTTTTCCTTGTGAAACACATGTCCAGACTATTGCTTTTCAGGGACTCTTTCCCCGGGACACCTCCAAGCCAGGTAGCCCCTATGCCACACAACTGGGGAAGGCCACCCAAAGGCAGGACAAGATGGAGCAGGCACCAGCAGCAGTGGCAAGGAGTGGAAGACAGACACCTGCAACGCTGTAGAAACTGTGATCAAATTTGGGAGCAGTTTACCTTGCACGGGGCAAAATCAACACTGAACCTAGAGCAAAAAAAAGGTACCTAGAGACCCAAATCGAGGGAGCAACCCCTGTGTTCATCAGCTCAAATTCTCCCGGAATAAAGCTTCCCAGGGAAGGTTTCAACACTTTCTGTGATGGCAGAAACCACAGAGGAACAGGCACTTTTGTTTAAGTTTGGCACTTCCCTAGGCCTGGCAGGAGCCCATGACTGCGGAGGTGAAGGCTCTCATCAACCCTTCCTGCCAAGTTACCCAAGAGAGCTGTTCCCATCCTGCAGCCAGGGCTCAGCACCAGGTGAGGTTATGGTAAAGAAGCACATGGCCTTCAGCCATGCTGAAACATCAGTCTTCCAGAGGGGCTGGGCAGGCAGCACCACAAAGGGGTTTTGGAGGATATGAGATTTAAGAGTGGGAAGAAAAACTTCTCTATTGTCTCACAGTGCCACTGCCTGTGCAGGGTCAGCCCTGCTCCTACCCCAGCACTGACTGGGGGCCCCACTCTCCAGCAAGCAACAGGAATCCCCCACAGCAGGTCAGGGCAGGAAAAGCCCCAGGATGAAAACAGTCTTCTCACCAGCCCATCAGACATCCAGAGGAGGCTTTAATATCAGGGAGGAGGAAAGGGAGAGGGAGCGGGGAAGAGGTCTGTGTGTGACAGTGGTACAGACAGACACATCCTGTAACGTGGCACAGGGAAGAAGACAGGGTGCGGGGCAGGAAGCCTGGTGATATCTTTCTCCAAGGACTGCAAGCACCTTCCAGGGATGGGAGGAGAGCCGGGTGGGGGCTCCTGACCCTCCGTGGCTCCTGACCTCGGGGTCCCGGCCGGCGGGTGCGGAGGCTCCGGGGTTGCGGTGGCCGCGGCCAGGCGGTAGCAGCCACTGCCTGTGTCGGGATGCCATCTAGTGTCCCTTGGCAGAAGGGCCGTCAGGCAGGGACACTGGGCATGGGCTTGCAGGTTCCCGGCATCGTCCGGAGTCATCTCAGAACAGCCTGGCTGCTGGGACCCCCCTCACTGGGATCGCCCTGGGTGCCGGGACTCCCATCCCAGGGACAGCGCGCCCTGGGGCCAGCACGGCTGCAAACCCCGAAGGAGGACAGCTGGCACAATCCAGGTCATACAGGGGCAGCAAAGCTCAAGGTGGTGCCAGGGCTGGCTCAGGGGTCCCCGGAGCAGCCAGAGCTTGAAGGCTCAGCAGCCTCACAGGTGGCCCGGGGTGGTGGCGGGTGTCCTGGTGAAGAAGGAAGGCGACCACTCCCCCCAGCAGTGTGCAGGCAGCCTGCAGTGCCAGCACGGCCAGCCCCAAGGCCAGGGACAGCTGGCACTGCCATGGGCTGGTCCACAGGGACAAGCCCCAGGCACGATGACTGCTGGGGGTCAGGGGTGCGGAGGCTGGAGAGGGGCTTGTGCTCTCTGATAGTGTGGGGATGGGAGGCGTTGGGAGCAGGACAGTGCCTGCCCGGACAGGAGTCTGTTGGGGAGCAGTGGGAGTGGGCTGGGCACCAGCTGTGGACAAGTCACAGGTGGTGGAATAGCCCCATTCTCTGCCTGGTGCAGGAGCATGGTGTGATGGTGAATGTGAGGCCAACGGGACTGTGCCCAGAGCAGCAGTCCTGGGGGATGGCCAGAGAGCCACGGAGGAAGCTGAGACAAGGGGGGTTATGGGTGTTCCCTGTGGGATGGTGGCTGGCCTCTCCCCGGGCACTGAGAGAGCAGGAGGCTCCTGTCTGGTGGTGCTTGACAGTGAGCTTGTTGGCACCCGTGTGGTGGCAGAAGCTGGAGTGGGAGGCACAGGTTCTGGGAGAGTGGCCCTAGGAGACTGTAGCCTTACGATAGCTGAAGTTGAAACAGCTGATGATGGGGTGGTGATGGAAGCCTTGGGCATCTCAGCTGAGGATGACGGTGTGGCAGTGGAGGCCTTTGGCAGCACAGCTGGTGATGAGGTGCTGATGAAGGCATTTGGTGATGGTGTGGTGATGAAGGACCTGGGCACGGTGGCTGGTGATGGGGTGGTGATGAAGGACTTTGTCACACTGGTTGTTGATGGTGTGGTGGTGGAGGTCTTGGGCTTATTGGTTGTTGATGGGCTGGTGCTGAAGGCCTTCTGCAGCACAGCTGGTGGTGGGATGGTGACAAAGACCTCAGATGGCTTGGTTGGTGACAGAGTGGTGAAGGCAGACTCCATTGGCACAGTTGGCAACACCACAGAGGTGGCCACAGGTGAAAGAGTGGTTGGCAGTGTCCTGATGGGAGAGGATGCCAATGACAGCATGGTTGGTGCTGCTGTGGACACGGCTACGCGTGACAGGAATGTTGACGTTCTTTGTGGCACTGTGGAGTTAAATGGCAGAGTACCTGGGCAAATCAGGTGTTCGTCCCTCAGCAGTGTTACTTCTTTCCCTGCCAGGTGGAGTGGGCTCTTGCAGGAGACTTGGGTGGACAATTTGACCTTCTCCCTGTTGCCCAGGATCCAGAGGTGCAGGTAGCAGAGGTTGCAGTCACATCTCCATGGGTTACCACTCAGATACACTGAGCTGAGCTTCTTCAGAGGGTCTAGGAGCCCTTGGGGAACACTCTCCAGCTGGTTCTTTCGAAGGTTGAGGGTTTTCAGATTTGGGAGAGAAGCAAAGACCTCTTCATCCAGAGCAGAGAGCTGATTTGTGTCCAGCTGGAGGTCCAAGAGCTTGCTGAGCCCAGTGAAGACCCCTCTTGGCAGGGCTGATAGCTGGTTGTGGGACAAGATAAGTTTGCCAAGGGACGTGAGGTTGACAAAGATGCCCTCTGGAAGTGTGACCAAACTGTTCCTGCCCAGATCCAACTCCCTCAAGTGTGGCATGGTGTCAAAAAGGCAGCAGGGGAGCTCCATAATATGGTTTGAGCCCAGAGTCAGCAACTTCAGTTTGTTTAAACCAAAAAAGCCCTGAGGTGGGAGAACGCTGATGAGGTTGTTGTCCAAGAGGAGTTTCTCCAGGTGAGGCAGGCTCCTCAGAAGCATGGGTGGCAGTGCCCTGAGCCTGTTCCTCTGGAGGCTGAGCTCCAGCAGCTCCAGCTGACTGTCTAGCAGTCCCTCTGGGAGGTCCTGCAGCTCATTCTCATACAGCCGGAGGACTTGCAGCTGGGTGAGTTTGCTAAAGGCATGCACAGGAAGAGCTGTGATCCTGTTTCTAGACAGGTCCAAAAAAGTTAGATTGACAAGAGAGTCAAAAATGCCTTCTGGAAGAGAAGGGATTGCATTGATGTGCAGGGAGAGCTCTCCCAAACTTTCCAGCCCATCAAACAGGCCTTTGGGGATGGATCTGAGCTGGCTGTCCCTCAGCTCCAGCCTCTGTAAACTTGGGAGGTTTTGGAAAGTGCCCACAGATAGTTTTTCTAATGAGGCACCAGAGATGTCCAAGTCCCTCAACTTGTCCAAATTATCAAAGGCTCCAGGTTCAACAGTCTTGATCTTGTTACCAATGAAGAAAATCTTGATCAGGTTGGGCATGTACCTGAAGGCACCTTTACTTATAGAAGTGATGCTGGTTTGCACAAAGATCATCTCAGAAACAAAGGGCTTTGCAATCTTTGGGATCTCTTTGACATCATTTTTTGTCCCTCTGTAGACCTCCTGGTAGTCTTTGGGCATTTCATATAGATCTGCACCGAGGATTTGATCTTGGCATTTATGGGGATTGAAAGACAGGAGGAAAAGGAAAAAGAAATGCTGGTACATTTTGCTGGGAAAAAAAAAGTTTCAAAAATCTGTTATGAAGAACAATAAATCTCTGTCCACAGCTCATGAACTGTGGTATCACACTGCTCTCAGGACTCTTCTATTCACATACCATGACTCATTTCATGAGAAAGAGAGACTGGACACGCAAACATAATGCATTTACACGAGTTCACTGCTGTTGGTACCAAGGGATGGAGAGGGAAGGCAAGCCAGCTTGTGGCTTGCACTGGGAGATGCTCCAGGAGGCACAAGGGCTGGACAGTCTGTTCTCTGGCCCTTCTCACATGTTTGAACTGTAGGCTCAGTCAGCCTGGGTGAAGAAGGCAAAGTGCTGCTGCCCATTAGTGCTGCCCCAGTGGATCCAGTTAGTCAGCAGGGCAACAGCCCATTCATGCAACAACAGAAAGCACTCAGCCCTGCACTTGCTAATGAGGGATCAGCAAGGCTCCAGGAGCCAGCCAAGACCAGAGGACCTTGTGTGCTTAGAATTTACACACTGTGCTGGGTAGGCTTGCTATTTCAGTGCTGCTTCTCTCAGTTTGGGGGGCGGGGGGGGAGGGCTGATTTAAAACATGGTTTCTAAGCACCTCTTTTTCAGGATTCTTGCTAATTGTACCATATTTTGGCCTTGGTCATGACAGAAATAGTTACCCTGAGAACAGCAACCAAGCAAGGCTCATTAAAACCTTGGAATGTCCACAGATGAACTATTTAACACCTAACATTTGGGGCTCTGACCTTGCAGGTAGGAAGTGAAATCACTGAGGTAGGAAGTTGATGTGCACTGAGTAGTAGAGCCCACTTCTTCCACGGACACATTTGGAAACACTCAGCTAACACATTAACTGGGGTTTAACTGCCATGGGCTCCTCACTGGGACCATATTTCCAACTGTTAATTCACAGGCCTGGGTGGGAAGAGGGAAAAGAGGTACGAGTTTCTTCTTGGGTGACCATCAAAGCTGGCCATGCAAAAAAAAAAAACAACTTATTCTGGGAGGGTAAATCTGCTATGAAAAGTTTTGTTTTTTTTTTTTTAAGAATGTTGAGACGTCAGCAAATACAGGAGACTGAAAACCACTGGGTTTGAAGAGAAATGGATGGGAGGTGACATTGGTTGTGCAGGCTGCCCCCCAGGGCTCCCAGGGCAGAAGCCACTGCTGATCCCCGCCCATCCTCTCCCCAGGGAGACTCAGGTGGAAGAGCTGGGTCTGTGGCTGTAGAAGTGCCTGCTTCACTTCTGCTGCAGGGGCAGTGCAGTGGGTGAAATGTGGAAACATCTGAGAGAGTGGGGATGAAAATGTACAGTTTTGAACCACAAAACCCTTTAAAAACCCTCACTGTGCTCCCATGCTTGTCCCCCACTCCAGCCAGGCAGAGTCATGGAATGATGGTCCCAGCTCATGGCACTGAAGCCTTCCCTGCTCCTTGCTGCAAGGAAACAACCAACAGCCCTCCACACCGCCCCTCCCAGCGCATTTTAAAGAGCAAAAAGAAGCATTTTGCATCACTTACTTGGCTGAGCACTTGCAAACGAGTTCAGCCACCAACGAGCCTTGCCATGGAGGAGTGAGGACACCGGATGGGGTCTCATCACCTGGCCCGCTCTTTATCCACGTCCCAGGCACGGGGCTCAGTTTCACATGAGCTCAGGACACAAGTCTGCGTGGGGAGATAAGGGCTGGCCGGGGAGCCAGCACAGGAGCTGTGCCCCCAGTGCAGGAGGCCACAGCAGAAACCCCTTGGAGGGGACGCAGTCACGTACTCCCCAGGCCTTATCTGCTGGCACCACCTGACTCATCATATCCAGGGAAAGTTGAAGATCTCCAGGCCAGCCTGTTTGCAGGCCATGGTCTCTGTGGTCCTGTATCTCCAGCAGGGTAACTCACCAGTTTCACAAACACCACCCCCATCCACACAACAGACAGCTGTTTCATTCCTCAGGATTTGCCTTATGTAGCTAAAAGTGGAGTTCTGAAGCCATTTCTTAATCCTTATAAACAGTGAAATATTTGTGGCTCAACAAATACAACACCCAGGCTCTGTGCTCAGCCACACAGCTCCACACCTTGCTGACCCTTGTGTTGTGTGCTGCACCCCAGTGCACACCAAAGACCCTCCCATGGTGACACCCAGAGCCCCTGGCTAGTGCAGGGCATCCTGTGGGATGCTCGTTTTGAGGCAAACTGACAGGATATACATTGCTTCCCAATGGGTAATTGCACTGGCTGCATTTAAACTTCTTCCATTTTCACCTGCTCTTATAAAAGCTCAGCTTCTGCTTGCTGGGTTTCATTGCACTTTTCTTGGCAAATTTAAAAACAAACTACTGCACACTTTTAACAGCCTTACCGCTTTCCAACGTCAGTGTCGTACCCATCCGTGTCCCCACCGGGTTCTCCCGGCTCTGCCGGGCCCGCGGAGCCCGGTCCCGATGGCCACGAGATGGTGCCGCAGCACCGCCGCACGGACACGCACGGACAGACAGACGCGGGGACACTCACACACGCTCGGGGACACTCACAGACACTCGCGGGCACGGACAGACACACACGGACAGGCCCGTGCTGACAGGCACAGACACAGGGACACTCTCACACGGACGCTTGTGCGCTTACAGCCCCGCGTGTGCAGCCACGCTCGCCCTCCCCGGGCAGCACACGCCTTACCTGTCACCCTCTGGGCAGCGCTGCTGGGACTTTGTGCCTCGTCTCCACAGGTCACAGAATCAGAATCCCAGGATGGGAGAGGTTGGAAGGGGCCACTGGAAGACATTAGTCCAACCTCCCCACTGAAGTAGGGTTCCTTGGGTACCCATGGCTCTGTTCACTTGGCTTTTTAGGATATTCAGAGAAGGAGACTCTACAACCTCGCTGGGCAACCTGTGCCACTCACCCTCACAGCAAAATTCTTCCTCTCGTTCACATGAAACTTGCCACTTTCTATTTTCAGGCTGCAGGGCTGCAGACCAAGCCCTGACAGGGTAGGGGTGGGACCTGCCTGTGCACACCTGGGCTGGAGCTCACCCTGCAGCCAGGCCGCTCATGCCCCTTGCTGGGCAATCAGCAGCACTCACCCTCACCCACCTCCCTTGGACAACACAAATCCGTGTCCTCAGGTTTTGCCAGGCTGCAGCTGGGCCTCTCTTCCCTCTGCAGTGCCAAGGGAAGGTGGCTGCAGCGGGCAGACATGAGCACACCATGAGCATGCCAGAGAGGCACCTGCTCACCACCAGGCACCTGCACTGTGCCCCTGCATGCACAGCTCCTGACAATATCCCAGTGTACCACATCGACCTTCGCTGTCTCCCAGACACAGACATTGGTGGGGGGAACAGAATGATTCCTCTCTCTGCCATGGGAACTAGCAGCACAGAAATAATAGATAAATTTTAATTATATTTGCAATACACAGGAAACACACAGCTGAGAGGATAAGCAGCACCAGGCCAGCTGTTGCGGAGAGCTCGGTGACAGCTGGGGACCATGGCAGCGGTAGCGGAGCGAGACGGAGAGCTGTTTGTTTCCCAGGCTGGTTCAGAGGTTGCCAGAGCAGAAGCAAACGCCTGCCCAAGCCTCAGGGCACCGCGGGGAGAGCTGGTGGTGTGAGCCGGTTGCCGCTCTGTGCTGTGACAAGGACACTGACGTGCAGCGTGCCACAGCGGGAGCGCAGCAGCCAGGCCCCGCGGTAGGCCGGCCCCAGGCCCTGCTCCTGCCCGGGGGGAGGGAGCCGAAGGCTGAGCTGCTGGCACCTTGTGGCATTGCAGGCCACGCTTACCGTGCCCTCGGGGTCGGTGTAGGTGCAGTGCCCCAGAGCATCCGTGTGCCAGCCTTCCTCTGGGGGGACACTGTGTGCGCCTGGGCACTCCAGCTGCCCTCCGGAGACCTCCAGCAGGGACTGGCCCTGGAGAGCAGCTGGATCGGCACAGAAGGCTTGGCCGTGGATGAGGGGCTCAGCAAAGCTCTGGAGCCAGCGCAGGAGGTAGGAGAGGTGGCAGTCACAGACCCAGGGATTGTCGGCCAGCCCCACACGCACCAGTTCTTCGTTGGCATCAAAGAACCCCGCGGGCAGGCGGGCCAGGCGGTTGTGGTCCAGCACCAGGGCGGTGAGGAGGGGCAGCCCAGCCAGCAGCCTCGCCGGCAGCCTGGAGAGGTTGTTGTGGCTCAGCTGGAGCTCTGTCAGCCCTGCCAGCCCCTGGAAAGCCTCAGCGGGCAGGTGATCTATGGCGTTGTGGGAGAGCTCCAGGGTTTCCAGCACTGACAGGTTAGCAAAGAGCTCCTGGGGCAGTGTCTCCAGCTGGTTGCGAGCCAGCGAGAGGTGGAGGAGGCCAGGGGTGCCAGTGAACAGCACGGCAGGCACGGTGGCCAGGTTGTTGCCCTCCAGGCTGAGGACAGTGAGGTTGAGGAGGCCTGTGAAGATGTCAGGGGCCAGGCTGCCCAGGGCATTGTGCTGCAGCTGCAGCCGCCGCAGTGCCCCCAGCCTGGAGAAGATGCCGGAGGGCAGCTCCTCCAGCCTGTTGCCATCCAGGTGGAGCTCAGTTAGCTGGCCAAGTGCCCTGAAAGCACCAGGAGGCACCTGTACCAGCAGGTTGTCACTGAGCTTGAGGACACGAAGGGCGACAAGTGGGGCCAGCAGCCCATCCGGCAGCTCAGCCAGAGCATTCTGAGATAGGTCCAGGGCTCGGAGCCGCCGGAGTGGGCGGAAGATGCCAGGGGGCAGTGCCTCAATCCTGTTCCCTGACAAGCTCAGGTCCTGCAGGCGGCAAGAGGCAGTGAAGAGCCCTGGCTGCAGAGTGCGGATGGTGTTGGCACTGAGGGAGAGCTTGCTGAGGCTGGTCAGCCCTGCCAGCATCCCGAGGCTGACGGATGGCAAGGGGTTGCCTGATACCTCCAGCTCAGTGAGGCTGGGCAGCCCCTGAAAGGCACCAGTCTCCAGCTGCTGAATGTTGTTATTGATGAAGACCAGCTTGGTGAGCGTGGTGCTGGAGCCCAAGTCCTCGCTGCGGATGCTGCTCAAGGCTGTCTCCACGAAGAAGAGGTGGGTGGCACTTCCTGGCAGGCCCTCTGGGATCTCCCGCATCTTTTCGTTTGAGCAGAAGACTTTGGAGGTGTCATAGCACTGGCAGGTAGGGGGGCAGGATGGGGACAGTGCCCCCACCAGCAGGGACCCCAGCCCCAGCAGCACGTAGATCAGCAGCCTCCACTGGAGAAGGAGCCAAGTCTTACCCCATGCACCCACAGGCAGGCACTGCTGGGGAAAGGGCTTCTGCAGCCAGAAATGCAGCAGGATCAACCTCTGAAACACCACCAGCACAGGCAGCTGCCCTGGCCATGGGCATCCCTCCAGCCCCTGCTGTCAGCACCTCCCCAGCACTCCCCTTGCAGGAACAGGGAGCACTTCCCTCCCAGATGTCTCCCCAGCCTTTTTACCCTGTGCCCCAGCCCACCCTGTGATAACCAGGGCTATGCCACCCTCATGAAAGGTGGTGAGCAGCCACATCCTGCAGAGCAGCAGCTGAGGTGGGATCTGTATGGGTCTGTGGAAGTCTTGGGGGAAACCTGTACCCTCATCAGATGTCCCCACAGGCACAAAGGTTCTAGGGCAGGAGAATCTCTGAAACATAGGGCAGTGCTGTGCACTCTGGGTGATGGCAACAGCCCTGCAGGGCTGCTCTGAGCTCAGTGGCAGTAGCTGTGGGCTCCACCACTTGTATTTCTAATTGCCTGTCAGGTACTTCGTTTTCCACAAGGAATCAGAGCAGCATCAACATGCTGGAGGGATATTCAGCCTGACCAAATGCCTATTCCCAGCCCACAGAAGCACTTTTTGAGGCAGTCGCCCCCAGACCTCTGCCAGTCCCTCTCTAGTTGGGATACATGCCAGTGCTGCCTCGTGATGGGGGATATAGCCCACCCCAGAGCAAGGCCCACCGACAGACACCCTGCCCCAATGGAGCTCTCCTGGACTTACACCAGCACTTGAGAGCAGCACTGGCTTGGCATTTCCTTTCCTCCATCTCACTTGTGTTCCCCAGAGCCAACAGAGGCTCCCACCCATCCCCAAACTACCCAAGCAGTGTGGGCACCACTTACCAAGTGTGACATCACGGGGATGGTCGCCGAACCTGTGGCAGATTTGCAGGGATGCTGCTTGCTGGGATGGGACAGTTGTTTTCTGGGGCGGATGGGAAGCCAGCCGAAGCCAGGGACAAGCTGTTCCTGCTGGGGCGGAGCTGCCCCTCGCTGCTTATCGGCAACAACAACCCGTGTCCTTGGAGCACTTTGAAAAATAACCCGGCCTCCGAGGGACTGGAGGTGAGGCCAGAGGCAGCTGCCTGTGAGCATCCTGGCAAGGAAGTGGGGTTCTGGCCCCGGACATCCATTGCTGCAGGGATGGTGGCAGGGTGCTGCTGTCACAGGTGGCTCCAGTTCCATACCAAGGTCAGCATACTTGCTTCCAGAAGCCCCCTAAGAGAGCCCCAGAACTTCATTAAATCTCACTGGGAAATGGTGCTCAAAATATCTCTGCCATGAGAGAAGCAACGCGGTGCAGCTTAGCAAGGCAGATGAAGGCTGTACGTGAGGTTAGAGGTCTTTTCCAACCTTATGGTTCTTTGGGGAGGGGACCACTGTGGGACCATCATGATGGTCATCAGGAGTTTTGTATCCCAGCCAGCAGTGGGATGGTGAGGGAGCCATGGATCAGCTGAACTCCCTAGGAGTTTCAGCCTGGGTGGAGGCGCAGCCATCATAAGTGCTGCATTGCAAGGGCCTGTGTTGGCCCAGGTTAGGCTGGCAGCAGCCATGGAGACACCCTCAGGGGTAGGAGGAGGGATACTTCACTGCACTCAGTCAGTCTCATGGAGCAGATGGTGACACATGGAAAAACACAGCTGACACAACCCAGGGGCAGCCAGCTCTGAAGGGAGCCAAGCAAGCTCCCCACCACCCCAGCAGCAGACTGTGCAGGAGACAGTCAGTGTCTCCATGGAGCAGCATGCTGAGGTCTCAGCTCACTCTCCAAAACCCCACCCACTGCTGTTGTATGGCTTAGTCCTCCTTGGTCCATCATCCCAGGCTGGAGTCCAGGGACCAGCAAGGGCTCTGCAAACACAGCCCACTAACTCTCTCCTAACCTCACCAACTTGTACAGGCTTTTCCTCAATGCCGTAAAAATCTCTGAGGAGTGGAAATCAAGTGCAGCCCCTGCTGGGCGATTCCCCTGCTGCCTACCATAAAGGAGTGAATAAACAGTTCTTGGCACTTGGAGTGGACAGTGGCACTTTAATGAGAAGTCACACATCAGCCCCCAACAGCCCCGTGACACAGTCATGAGTCTCCTGTTACCATGCAGGACTCGGCCCACAGGGGTGACCCATCACATGCACCAGCGTGGAGCTGCTTGTACCAGCACTGCCTGCTGAGGTGCTGTCAGCAGCCAGCACTGCAGGGTGGACACCAAACACCCACCTTGTCCCACAGCAGCAGTCCTCAGGCAGCCTGGTGCCACTGCAGCACACACGGAGGTGAGCTCAATCCCCCATGGTCGTGCTACAGCTGGAGAAGGCAGCTGGATACAGGGGGGATGGTGTGGCACCCATTTGCAAACTGCAGAGCAGCCAGCACTCTGTGCTGCCAGCGTCCCCCCTGGCAAGGGCTGCCACCCAGCAGCGGCACTGGACACACACAGGAGGGCACTCCAGGGAGTAAGAAGAGGATGAAGAAGCTATTAGTGGTCAAGCAGAGCAGGAGCAGGTTGCTCACTAGCTGGTGGACGGTGTTAAGGAAATGACTAGGAATGGGGAGCAGCAGAAGCAGCCCCAACACACTCCAGCAACGCAGAAGGACAAGCACAGGAGCTTCTCCCAGCCCCTGCAGACACTTCACACCCATTGTCCCACTCCTCCACCCTCACAGTGCAAGCCCCTGGCACCCTGTGGGGCTGAAGCAGGGCCCTGCAGGCAGGGGCACAGCCACAGCAGGGTCAGCACCAGCATGCAGTGAGGGCTGGGGGGCTGCTCCTGCCCATCCCTGATGCCAGCACACTGTCCCGTGGCTCTCCTGGCTGGAGGTGCATAAGGGAAGCAGGCAGATGCCAGGAGCAGGAGAGGGTCCTGGCTGTGCTCTGGCCTGCCCTGCCTGCAGGCAGGGAGGGCAACTGGGACGCAGCTGAGACACTCAGGGTGTGCCAGCCTGGCAGCAGCACAGCCCCGTGGGGAGCCCTGCCCAGGCACCGTGAGTGAGGAGCAGCAGAGGACACGCAGCTCCCCTGGGGCAAAGCTGTCATCCTGGCCCAGAATGATGGCTCACACTGCCTGCCCAGGCAGGGGCAAGGAGGGAGGTGTGGTGGGGGCAGAAGGTGGGGAGAGGGGCTGGGCAGGGGTAGCATGAGGGCAGCAGGCAGCATGAGGGCAGCAGCACTGCAGGGAATGGGGCAAGGTGAAGGATGGGGACATCCTGTTATTTGGGGTAAAGCACCATCATGGCCAGGCTGTGGCTCCTGGCTCGAGGGGTCCCTCTCTGCATCCCACACCTCAGCTGCTGAATCTGGGCAGGGAATGAGCACAG